GCTTTGTTTACAATCGCATGTCATACATTACATCGCGCTACATAACTTTCTTTGTTTATTTTTTTTTTTTACTTTTTGCCCTTCATAATGGCTCCAAGGTGTAAGTCAGACTCCTAATGTTTTTATGTCCATGACTATGAAGTTAGCGCCGTGTTAGCCCTGGTCACTGACGTAGGTACAGTATGGACAGAGTTCCGACTTGGGAACTTACAGCTGAAACTCCGACGCAGGTCGAAAACCTCCTGAACTGTGAATACAACGCATCAAGAACATCTGGAGTCTTTTTCATTATTTTTTGTATTCTGTACTGAAGATCAATAAGTTCAATCAATGGTCACGATGACCACTTTAGAGCCTGTCATGTCTTTGGCTGTAGAATTAATAATAATGACCCCACAAATGAAAGAAATTAGATTTAAAGGCCAGACTTCCACTTGTGTCAATGTCATCGTGTCAGGAAACACAGTGAAACAGACGGAATCATCAGGCTTTAGCCAAGCAAGAGTTGTTGCTCAAAGGCATAACATTCAGCTATCAGGTCACTGCAGCTGTTTAGTTCCAGCAATAATTAAACTCATCAAATGGAGATTCATTGGCTAATTGAATGATAATGGATTGTTACTCCATATATTGATGACCCTCTTCAGCTCCAAAATGATTGTTCTGTTTGCTTGGCATTAAACAATGAAACATAAACCAGCAGGCAAAGATAACCAGTTTAAGGCAATTACTCCACAATTACATTTAATGGCCTATAAAGTTATATTGCCACTTATTAATCACTATTTGGCTTTTGGTAAGTGAATCATGGTACTCCAAGCATGCTGAAAAATTGGTTACATGGACCTAAATTAATTATAGTCCATGCTTACAATACTGCTGTGAGGCTGGGAATGAATGACTAGTGTTGGAGACCATTTTAAAAAGAAACCAAAAAACACACACACATTTATACTGTGTATGAATCTTTATGAATACCACCGTATTAAGTATTAACACTGCTCATACTTTCAAAAAGCATCCGTCTAAATACAAATGTAATTAAACCCTCACCTGCGTCTGATAGCTCAACAACCCTCTGAAACTCGTCTCACACTGACATTCAGCGGTGATAAAATATGTCTTTACAGTGGGAAATGAAATGAGCATTAATGAAGAAAACTCCATCTGTCTCTATCTCATTATATTGTGCTCCTTATCTGTCTGTGCTACAATGCAACTCCCTGATCATGAGCTGAGTCTACCATAATTAAGCCCTGAATTAGCATCCAAATTACCAGAATGTGTAATTGAGGTTATGAAAAGCACACATTACTCTTTCTATTACTTTGGGAATATTAGTTTCTTGAACAGGAAGCAGATCGTCTTTCTTGAACTTACAATTTTCCTCCATCTGAGAAAAGCAGTTCAATTACCAGAAATTCAGTGTCCGCGACAGTCATTGTACCGAGATCATTCTGGTGCATTTCCTCTTTCATTTAAAATGCCCCCTGGCAGGGTTTGTATGCAGGCTGTGGCCGCCACGTTTACCTATTATATTTTTTTTGTTTATTTTCCTTCTCTTGTAGAGATTATGCAGTGGTAAAACCGGTGCTGTGTGTGTTTTCATTATAACTAGCATGCATGTGTGACTGTGTCCTGGCATGTGTGTGGGCTACAGGTTTGGTAATTATGACTATATAACTAAGCAGGTTTACTCATTATTCTCACTGGCATCAAGTCAAATCAGTTTACGACTGACATGATGTTCACCTTCACGTAACTCATTCAGCTATTAATCAGAAACCCTCCGAAACTCTGAGGCTTGTAATCAGATTCAAATCAAATTCAAGATATTTTCAGTACTTCTCTCACTCAAATAGAATGTTCCAGAACCACATTAAAATAAAATCAGGATAGCGCCCTCCTCGGCAGATGTGTGAATGAACTGGTTTTGTCAGCAGTTTATACATGCATATTCATGTTTTATACTGTAGTTAGCTTAAGAATATAATGGATATATTTTATTTGTTTTAATCAAATGCTTTTATTCTGCATCAAACTAACCGACTTCTAAAACTCTTTGCGTGTCATTAAAGTGGATCTTTACAACAGTTTAAGAAACATTATTCACAGATTCACAGTCACATATCACAACTTTTGTTTGTTTCTTTTCTCTGTATACTTTCTTTTCAAGTCCACATATTGACTTTTATTGCAGCGGCTGCATTTCTTTTTTTAAGACTATGTCTTTGACTTTCTTAAATGTCTTTGCTTTCTGCTGTGCTGCCGTTGGGCTGCGGCCATGTCTTCTCTAGTTCAGCAAAAACACATCCACCTGTGTTTTTGCATTAAAAGCTAAAACCTGCAGATGTCAGAACTTTTTTTTATTATTTTTACCTTGCTCAAACAAGCCACTCCTTCCTTTCCAGGTTAAACAGCCCAGGTGAGGTCATTCCTTTGTTATTCTTTGAGATTTAAAATTTCTGATCCGGACCAATTTTTAATTGTGGAGCAGTTCTTTACTTTGTATGTGCCTCAAAAATCAATGAAAATGTAAAAATGTTGACTTTGATTGTAAATGTTCTAATGGTAAATACTGTAGTACTGTGAAGTGAGTTTATGTGGCGCAGCTGTATGCGGTCCAGATCTCCCTTTTTGTAAATGTCTGCGACATTATAAGAGGAGTATTAGAACATTATGCCGTTTGTGAAACTAGCACAGCATCATCAAATCCCACAGGATTAGGAAGTGCGGAAAAAGAAAAGGATGTGACCCAGTGTTAATCTAGCATCTGTGCCACTTGTGTTTGAAATGCATCGCAGATCAAACTGCATTAGGTTCTTAACGCTGAACGGATTATCTTTGTCAGAGTAAAAATGAATCATGTTTGGCTGCTGCTTAATAATCAAAGGCTAAATTTTTGGGATAAATCAATCAATCAATTATTAAATATGACAAAAAATCCTTGAGATAACAGTGATTTAAAGAATTTCAGATTTATATAATGAATGAGAGGTTTGTTTTTTACAAAACTTCAGTGAAAGCCTTGCCCTAAACAATTAATCAGTCAACCATCCCTCCCACGTCATGGCTTTTCCTTCATTGTGTGCAAACAACACTTGTATCGATCGCATATTAGAGCGACTATAAATGGACTGGACAGTGGCCTTGTTGGACATACAGAGTATGGTGTTGGGTTAAAATACAATAGGAACTTTAAATTACCACAGTAATCCTGACAGCTAAACCCTATAGAATACATTTGTTTGGAAATTATTTTATTGTTAGTAATGGTTTGAGAGTCTCTCATGACCACAGCGGTGAAAGACCCTGATTCTGGTGCATGTAAAATTGTTACACTAGAAGTAGAATAACAATTAGGCATTAAAAATGTTCTGCCAGCTAAGAAAGCAAATGGATTACGAGGCATGAGGACGAGATGAGTTCATGAGATGTATTTCGTGACATGAATTCCGTACTCAGTTATAGAATATTCTAGAATAATAAAGACATGGAGGGGGAAAAAAGAGGAGAGAGACAGATAAGGAGATATAGAGTGGGAGAGAGGGAGGGGGAGAGAGAGGGAGAGGCTGAAGCTTGTTGTAAAATTTATGAGACACAAATTTAGTTATGAATTTTGTAGAATATTATAGCGGAGACAGAGTAGCGGAGGAGGAGCTCAGTGTGTGTTTTCCCTCTAGTTGTCAAAGCCTAACATGTTATGTGTTTCTTATCCTTAATTTTATTTGTTTCTATGGCCTAAGAGGTAGAATGAGTTGTGAAACTGCTGACTGAAATAAACAGATCTCTGCTTTTTAGCCACCACGACAGCAGAGCTGTTTTATACCTGCAGTAACCTTTAATGTTTGAAAAGACACATATAATTTATTTCCCTCGTGTCCATAATTGCTGGGCAACATAATTTCCCTCCACGCTGTCATTACAATATTTGTTATGTTTCATTATCTGGTTTCATAGACTTGACTCCATTAAAACAGCTTTCTGTGGTTCCTCTAATGATGTGGTAACAAAGGCTGATGCAGGACAGTTCTCTGTCTCGGTTTGGTTAGAGTTGATAGAGTGAACCATAATGATTTAATTAAGATGTCATGTAGTTTAGTTTTCAACCTGAACCTTCAATGCAATAGGTAATCAGTCATTTTGAGCAAAATCTTTTTAATGTGGGACACTGCAGGGTCCTGTTCTGGGTGCCATACTTTAGCTACTTTATTACTGCTTCTATTCTAGAACCCCACTAAAGTCACCACTCACAGACAGGCCTTTGTAACTACAGAATAATACCCAGCTACCACCTCTCTGCATTGAAACCACCTAAAGATTGTAATCATCTCTGCACCCTGGAGAGTTCTTCCTGTAAAGTGAGGGCCACTCATGGCCCACATTCATTGGCTCTTAAACTGTGTCATAAACTTGAAAAGTATGTTGACAATGTAGTCCACCGCTTCTTTTTCAGGCCAAGAAACTTAGCAGAGCGCCAGGCTGTGGTGGCCGGACCTCAGCTTGAGATCATTATTAGTATCACAGTTAGTTTTCAACAGTCATGAAGAATACACATGGTGGTACACATCTGTGATCCTACTGTGCAAGTCAGTACCAATTAAACACACTATCATTAATTACTTAATTCATTGCATATGTTGTTCATATACCTTGCTGACTGTCACTTTAATTACTGCCAATGATGCTTTAGCTGCTGCTGCAATCCTTAATTTAGCATATCTTTATTTTATTTGTAATATATAATTCTTTATTTTTGGCCTCCCAGTATTAACAGCTCTATGCCCTCTAAATAACCCAATGGGTATGTAGAATAGTAATAATAATATAATAATAATAATGTATAGTATTAATAATTATAATAATAATAATACATAGTTTCAGTCAATGTTTTCTAACCATGGCAGTAGTTTTTCTTTTCTATTGTTTTATTTCTAAAACAGTTTTTTTTCATGATGCATTTTTTTATGGGTGAAAATACTTGAAAAATGTGTACTTACCAGTGCCATAGAAGCTGATATGCTGCAGATCAACGATTAGGTCCATATTGCAGGAACTCCTACACGTTCTGGGTCAGCATTCAGCGTTAACCTATGTAACAATAGAGGCGATATAAAATATGTCAATTGATAAGTCAACGTCATTCCATCACTAACGTTGAGGGAATGTGATTTCTGACTAAAGGCAAAGTCTCTAGAAACACTGTATTTTCTTTCCCTCCCTGAAGCTTTTCAAGCATGTGCATATATGGGTCACTTGATAACATGATAAATGAGGATGAGAAGTACCAAGGGACATTAGTGTTGAATCTAGGGAGGCAGTGGGAGTCCCACAGCAACGTTCGCCTTGGGCTTAGCCCAACATTCCTCCCCAAGGAAAGAAATGACTGATATAGGCTCCGTTGTATAAAAATAATTATAACTGTAAGGCTGGGCTTACAGAGGAGTGGGTAGTTTTTCACATTGAACAGGTCAAAAAAAAAGATCTTCAATGCACAGCATAATTAATTAGAAATCCACTCACCTTGGCTTTTCCCACTTACTCCTATTTAACCTGTTTTCTACTTTGGAGATTTAGTTTAATCCATTAAAGTGTGCGCCAACGTTGGAATCTTGGAAACACACAGCAAAATACTAAAATCTTGACTACTTTCAGGTCATTTGTTTTCTCCTTCATATTCACTTCTCTTTTCTTGCCTGACCCCAATTCCTTCAGCACTACAGTTTCCCTCTCTACCTTTCCTTGAAGTAGTCCTTTCCTTCCCATTCTTCCAAAGGCCTACATTTCACTAAGAGTGTTATATCAAAGTAATGCTGATCAACACACATTCCCGAGCAGAAAGTGAGTATATGTGTGTGAAACTGTAAGAACCTGTGAATGTGTGTGTGTGTGTGAGATGATGTTCTCTGGCTGTTCTCCAGCTATTAAGATGAGAGAGCCTCCTGAGGCCTGGTGCCTCTGCCAGTCCCTTTAAAATTAGGACCAAAAAATGAGCAAGTAATATGTTCCAAATTTAGATTTGATAGTAAAAGGCGTCAGGTTTGAGGTTGAAGATACTGTTTGAGCTTTAGCTGGAACAAAAATAATCCAATATGGAGTGGTTAAAACAGTGAGGTGGACTTTTTACTCATACAGACACAGTCATGTTTTCTTATTGTTGTTGCATATGTCTTATTGAAGCAGATTATGAATAATAATAATTATGAATGTATTATATTGTAATAAATGGTTACCAATATTTGTTTACACAAATTTTTTAGTCACTTTAGTATCTGGTGTTGTGTTCACGAGCACAAGGACATTTCTAGTGTAAGGTGAGGCCAATGAAACCAGATTTATTTCTATGATGTCACTGGTTGCGTTCAAAAGAATACCCGTCATTGTTTTTTACTCTGTTTCATCCTCCGGGATGGCTCAACGTTTCTTGAGTAAATGCTCATACTGTAACGTTACTGCCATTTTATGAAATGATTATGACTATTGGTTAAGTCGATGATTAAATATCAGTGTAAGTCAATCAGAAGTTTTGGCAACGACACGGAAGAAAAATTATATAACGTGACAGAGGCTAATGATAAGAGAAACTGCTTTTTCCCCACACATTCACACACAGATTTGACAGTATAACGGCTCATAAACGACAATGTTCATAAGACCATACTACAGAATGTGCAGTGCAACCGTTGAGTGCTTAAAACCCACAAAGAAATTAACCAGGAAACAAAAATGTTCTCGACTTATTAACACACAAGTGCAACCTCCAGGGAGATTTCCTTCAGTTCCTTTTTTTTCTTTTTAAGGATATCTTTACAAAGTTTAAGTGGCTCCAAACTCAAATTTAACATCACCAGTGAATTTGAAGGAAAAAAAAAGGAACCAGCAGATCCTCCTGAGGCAGCTCGCAGCAGGGGTGTGTATCCATCTTGTAACCTTGTTTCTAAACCTCACTGTGAGTGTGAGTATTGGTATTAACTAACTTATTTGTGTGTATTAACTGTGTAATTTTTTTGTCTCAATATGTTGCAGTAAGACACTGCAGACGGTCTGCAGATTTCAGTCTATCCAGCCGTAAGGAAGTGAAGCCCTTGCAGAGAGGGAAGTGGAAAATTCAACATCCGTATGGTGAAACTATAGCTCGACTAAATACTATCCTGAATATATTTATTGTGTTTATTTTGTGTATCTGTGGCTCAGTGTAGCTTTTGATGTTGTTGTTCACATCTGATCTTTCAGACTTTTTTCTGTATGGTATACGGTACAAGTTTACTATTTATATTATTTCGATCAGTTCTTTGATGTACCTCACCATCACAACTGCAGGCGGCATTTTTTCCCCCCACAGCTCCTGCAGCCATAAACAGCTGGAACGATCCAATCAGGTACTCCTCTGTATTTGCATAATTGGTAATATACCTTACAGCGCTACATTAAAATTTAAATTCTTACCACAAACAGTGAGCTGAGGATTACTATGCTCTCAAAAGACAGATGCAAAAAGAGGGGGAAAAAAGGAAGCAATTTGCATATAAGTCAAAAAAGAAAGGCCGCAAGGCATTTTGATTCATGGAGTAGTATTATAAGCCATGTACTATGTTTAGTTTTACTTTGCAGGAGCAAGAGGTGTAACTGTTAACAACGTACTTCATTACAGGAGTTGGGTCGCAGTTAGCTAATTCACATCCTTGTTGCAGTACAGTCACTTAAAAAGAATGAATAGCAACCCATTTCTCTCACAAGACTCAGTGGGTCAAGACATGGCTTCGAAATATTAAACATGAACTCTGCTGCTCTGGAACAGAAGTCAATATTAGCATCAATCCATATTTTCTCAGTGTCCCCGGCAATAACACATGGATTTTCTATTTCAAAGGCTAGGTGCCAAGGCAATGTGCCCTGCTATTTTGTGAAGACATATCAAGGACTGATATTTTCAATGCCTCTGAGAGAAGAAAATGTGCCCGTCTTTTGTTGAGCCAAAGATTCTATGGTTATAACAGCTTTAATCTGCAGCCTTGTATTTTATCGCAAATACTTTTGATATTAATATTAAATGTGTTTTTGTATCAGGCCGCATACTGTGTGTGACTGCCCACATGTGGAGAGGTTTGTTTTGCACTTGTGTGAGTGTGTGTGTTTGTGTGTGTGCGTAGGGCATATGTGTGTGATTAATCAAGACAGACTATGCAGTAAAAGGAAAGTGAAGATATGTGGACACAGGGCTCAGTAAATGGTTTGCAAATTGCCTGCCATGGGCAGAAAGCGCTATCTGATGTTGAGATAAAACAGCATGATTTGGTATTAGATGCTCGGACCAGTTCCTGTGAGAGTCTGTGCATGACTGTATGTGCAAAAAAGAACATTGTAGGTATAGCAAATTCACGTAGTATTTTTACCTAGCTTTTACCTAATCTTACACAGTCCCTATAGATCTAAGCAAGGATCCACTCATGCTGCAGATACACCCTGAAATTCAACTTTTTGTCTGACACAGGTTAGTGTCAGACAGGTTAGTTTGAGGATGAGTGACTAACATTTGCGGAGGAACTAAAGTTTAAGAAAATGTAAGTTTGCCAGGTGGCACAAGAACAATAGACGGGGAAAAAATACACATTGGTAACATCATAATCAAAGACATAAAAACATGACTTATGTCTGGGAGTCAGAAGGAAGGGCAAAAAAAAATCAACACATTTGAGAGAAAACCAATGTAGCACAATCCAATTTTATGGCGTACAACCCACAACTTTAAACAATGCTGTCTACCATGTATAGCACTGTTAAAATGCATTTGCCTGCTCCACCTGCCAACTAGTTCCCATACAAAATGTGTATAACCCTGTAGGTCAGAATGTTGGAGTAAGACCTTAATTAATTTATGGGAGATGGTGACATTACCACGAAACTCTATAGGGCTAAGACATCGTATACTGAGGAGCTCCTCTATATGTATTTTCAATTAAAACATTCACTCATGCTCATACAAGAAAATATCATCTCAGCAATATCAAACCAAATGTATTTGTTTGTGCGGTCAACAACATAATTGAAAAAAGAACGCCTTGAAATGGGAATGTTATGCAATGGGTCCAAGACAGGATTCAAAATGGTGACTTTGTTATCATCAGACAAGAGAAGAAGACTATTTTAAACATGAGTATATTTATATCATTATAAGATTGACAAAAACAAACATATGTTCTGTGATTAAAAAGTAAAATATATATATATATATATATATATATAAACAATAATAATTCTTCCAGTCCTCAAATCCCAGCTTCCACAAGTTACACCATAAATCTGATTTAAGCTTTCTTTATGGTTGGATTTCCTAAAATAGTTTACTTTAGCCACTAGTCAAACAGCTCTGTGATGTAGCCTGATGTTGATTGCTCTCATTCTCCATGATCTCGGGCTGTCTGGCAGATTTTCTTCGTTTCCTCTCAGCTCTAAAGATGCTGGAAGACAATATTAACCACTTTCCACTAGTCATGAATTTATTTCTTCAGCAGCAGCTGAACATTTCACAGCCTGAACTCCTACAGGGTGAACTGAAATAACCAAACACTCTTAGGCTCATTAACTCTGAACAGCTCACAATAAACAGTCCTAAAAACAGGCTTAAACCTCGGAGCATTCTGTAAGCATTCTGGAAAAAAAAAAAAGGCTACAGTTACCCGCTCCATTTGAAAAGCATATCTGCCCTCATAAATGGGCTTTTAATTGTTTAGTTCAGAGTCACAACCATGTTTTGAACCTTTAACTAAATTTAACCAGCCACCAATTATGCAGCTAAGTTAACTAGGAAACAAAGAACACATTTAAAATATAACACAAATAGATGATATATGAAATATAAACAGTTAACATGACAGTTTTGCCATATCACATTATCCAATTATAATCCAACAATAATTAGTCAATAAAGGGTTAAGAATGCTATTATTATTATTAATAATATTTGTGTAGGTATGTATGTATACATACTGTACATACAAAAAAGAGATATAGGAGAGACCTGCTTTATGGAATCGAACTTAAGACCGCATGAAAGGATCTACAGCTTTGCTTCCTCAGAGTCTAATTTATTC